AAAGGGGAGATTTGGGTTGGAAATTGGGAAAGAATTCCTAACTGGGAGTGACCAGGACAAGGGGGAATGGCTTTAAGCTGGAAGAGAGGAGATTTAGGTGGGATGTTGGGAATTGGGAATTCCTGGCTGGGCTGGAATTGCCAGATTTGCTGTGGCTGCCCCTGGATCCCTGGCAGTGCCCAAGGCCAGGTTGGACATTGGCGCTTGGATCATTCTGGGATTCCGGAAGGCATAGCAGGGGCTGGAATGGGCTGGATTCCAGGTTTTTCCCACCCAAACCATCCCAGGATTCCCTGTGAGAGCCCCAGGTGTCAGAGCTGAGGGCAGGGAGGCTGCTGGGGCTCACCAGTTTTGTTGGAGAGGCGGAAGGACACCATTTTATCCGGGATGCTGCAGACATTCCGCACCGAGGCGATGCAGCTGTAGTTGGCGTAGTCCTGAGGTCGCAGATTCTTCAGCTTCAGGATCTTTGTTTCTCCCTGGAAAAATTAAAAAATAAAAAAAAAGGAGAATATCAAGAAGGGATAAAGGCAGAGGGAAAATGGATACAGATCTGGGATTTCTATCCTCCAGCATTCCCAAGTGCGGTTTTATTGGGATTGATCGCTGACGCGACATCCACGAGAAACAACTGACTGATCCAGAGAGATGAGCCCAAAAAAAAAAAAATAAAAACAGTGAATTCACAAGAAATTCCACAAAATGGAAACAACTTTTCCAGGGATTTTACCTAAAAAGTTCAAGACTGTGAATTCACAAGAAATTCCACAAAATGGAAAAAACTTTTCCAGGGGTTTTACCTCAAAGCTTCGAGATTTTGAATTCATAAGAAATTTCACAAAATGGAAACAACTTTTCCAGGGATTTTACCTAAAAGCTTCAAGATTGTGAATTCACAAATGGAAACAACTTTTCCAGGATTCTACCTAAAATCTTTGAGATTGTGAATTTACAAGAAATTCCACAAAATGGAAACAACTTTTCCAAGGGCTCTACCTAAAAGCTTTGAGATTGTGAATTCACAAATGGAAACAACTTTTCCAGGGATTTCACCTAAAAGCTTTGAGATTGTGAATTTACAAGAAATTCCACAAAATGGAAACAACTTTTCCAGGATTCTACCTAAAAGCTTTGACATTTTGAATTCACAAGAAATTCCACAAAATGGAAACAACTTTTCCAAGGGCTCTACCTAAAAGCTTCGAGATCCTCCCCAAAGGATTTCCAAAGGATTCAGGGAATGTCAACAATGGAAAGCAAGAGGAAAATTAATTTAATGGAATCCTTCTAGCAAATTTTTCAGGATAATTTATTTTAAGTTTTTAAGTTTTAATTTAAGTTTTAATTAATTTTAAGGGGTTTTTTTTTCCATGAAGGAAAAATCCCAAGGTACAAAATTCCTTCTGTTTTCCTTTAAAAATGAGGAGCTGCTGGATTCTGATTTTAGCCAGGGAGCAGGGATGGAGCAGGGAACTGAACTGGACATGGAATTTTGAATTCCTTCAAATACAGACAGCAGGAAACTGGGAATGGGGAATGTGAGATTCCCCCTGCAAAGTTCCAAAAGAAAAATGTAGAAAATGTTCGTTATCTGCTGTCCCAATAAATCTGAATAACTTTAATATTGGCACAGCCTCAGAAAAACATGGAATTATTTTTAACAATATCATGTGGATAAACTGCCCAGGAATATCTAGAAAAAATATGGAAGTTTGAGAAAATGAATGTACAAAATCAGGAAAAAAATAAATCCATCAAAAAAGAAGATACAGAGCAGGGAAGAAAAGGAAGTCCTGGAA